CCCGGGTGCCCGGCCGGGCAGGACCGGCCGGGCGTGAGAATCTTCCTAGGTTGAAACTTGAAAGTGGTAGCAGAGGGGGCTATGTAAGGGACTGTATGGTGTTTGCTCAGAGTATGGGCGACTGTGTTTGCAGAAAACAAGACGGGGTCATCCGCTCAACGGATTTTTAGATGGACAGAGGCGGATGGCGGGGATCGATATGGAGGTTTTGGCGGCGATGGTGTTGATTGCTGCTCTTGCTGTGGCAATCGGAGGAGCTAGTCTGTGGAAGTGGTGGAGGAGAAGGGTTCGACGGAAGGGATTCCCTCCCCCTGGACCACACAGCCTCCCCAAGACTTGGGTTCCCAGCGCAAGATTTGGTAAGTCCGTCAGATGTGTATAAGAGACAGGGATTCCCTCCCCCTGGACCACACAGCCTCCCCAAGACTTGGGTTCCCAGCGCAAGATTTGGTAAGTCCGTCATCGTGATTTGAAGCCTGAACTGCTTTGCTTCGTACGACGTGTCTCATCAGTCGTATATCATCAAACGGCCCATGTGTTTCCTCACCCTCCCTGTTTTTATTGGAAAAAAAGAAAGGGCGACGGCCTTGAGATATCATCATCGAGATGACCTGCACCAGGTAATTCAGAAGTATTTTATTATGTTCATCTGATTGCATCTGGATTCGAATTTGGGTCTGTATTCCAACAGTTCATGGGTGTACCAACTGAGCTAGGCCTCTTGGTGCACCTTGCCTTTTAATTAGCCTGATGTACACATTTACAATTTGACATGCTCAGACATCCATGAGTTAATCCTGTCCTCCTCCCTTTTCTTGAAATGTAATTAAAGCTGGTCCATGAAGGCTTTTTGGTTTCTTTTTTTTGCTCTTTTGAATGTTGGCCTTTTTCCTTTTAAATAATGGAAGAAGAGTTTTCTTTTTGTGTGCATTTTCAAAGAACATACCCCAGCAGGCGCAGCTCCATCCTCTCTTCTCTAACCTGGTCCTTTTCCCTGTTATTTTTTGTCTTTGTTTTTGTACTTTTTTCGCTCACCTAAAGCCGGTCCCTTTTCCAGTTTCTTTAGGCTGCTCCTCCGTCCTTGAGAAATAAAGTGAACAAGAGAACACAGCCGAACTGGTGCGTCTTTCCACCTCTTCTCTAGAGTCTAAACCTAGTCCTTTTTCTTTTTTTATTTAAACAAGTGGACCCCGCCACGGCTACGCCGCGGCGCACAGCAACACTCGGTGATGGCGTCTTATTTTTGTTTCATGTCTCTCTCTCTCTCTCTCTCTCTCTCTCTCTCTCTCTCTCTC